TATCACCTGTTTACACATTCATTTACCATGTTCAAATAACAATTAAGATACATAGACATTAAATTATTATTCTAAAATATGAACACAAAAGATGACCACAGCTTATATCCATAAGAATTAGTTGTGAGACATTTAACAAATACTTTGCATCTTGCACAATGCATAATTAATTATTGTTTTAAGAATAAGGTTATTCATTCTCATCATTAACACAGAGACAATAAGATACATAAGATCTTAAGGGAATATTAAATAATGTTTGCAAAGGATATCTCAAAGATATTGCATCACATTTACATTGGAATTACCCATCCTAGAAAATAAATTAAATAATTCACATATGACAGGAATTCCCTAATTATTTACCTCTGCCATAACCTACTTTTGGTTTTTTATGTGATAAAATGGCAAACTAGCAGACAGATCATCTGATTGTAAGCAATCGGTTTCCCCCATGGACACCCGCAACACCAGAGGAGTTGAAATTATGTTGCCAGCCTTTTTGGGAATAAGGTTCCAGAGATTTTTGGGATTGGGGAAGGGAAAGAAGGATTGGGTCTTTGTAAGTACAATACGGTAGTTTCTAACTAGTCAAATTCAAAACTTTTATCCAAATGTCAAAAATGACACCTTTCTTTCAAATTTGCATGAAATACTGAGTTATGACATCATAGTATTTTTTTGATAAAATGTTTACTTATTATTTAGAAATTAGCTAAAAAATATCAAAAATTTAGTGCATCGATCGATGAATGAAAGTATAGCTATTTTCAATATTTTATGTTATTAAAATGTCAAATTAATTTATTTTTGACTTAGGAAACCACCCAATTTATACATATAATTCATCTTAGTTTTGTCTCTAGCTTTCAACCATAATATTCAAATATATATATATATGGATCCAAAGATTTACAACATAGTTTTAATGCTTGCTTTTTGCAAAAAATACCTGGTTTATAATTTAGGAAAGGTGCATACCTACTTTCATATTATGCCAATTGCAGTATGTTCATAGGAAGTATGACTCATTCATATTAGTTGTAAACAATGCAGGAAATATAGTTTTCAAAGAAAACAAACTTCCTTGGTGTGCATCTACCTATAGCATATAACATCTTAAGATTGTTAATAATAATTGACACATACCTACACACATAGGCAATTATTTATGATTCATACAAATACTGGCAAGGTTTTTCAACATCTGATGGCATTGGCAACACAAAAATGGTCAAGAGTGGCGACCAGTACAGGTAAACATACCTACCTGGTTACTATTGTCACATATTGACATCATATTCTCTTCCTTTTGTGTAACCATATGATTATCCATATGTTATATTAACTTGATACTATTATTCATCTAATGATGCAATTATAAAGCCATGAGACTGGAAATTTCCACTACTGACCTTATCAAATATTTAGTGAAGCAACTTGAATGCATTAAAATTAATTTAAATTAGCATTTTATTGTTTTCATTGCATTTTACTTACAAAATTTAGCATTCTTGTGTGTTATAAATCAACAGTTTTACATCAAATCCATTAAAGATGTAACTTGTACGGTAATCCATGTTTAAGTATAATTGTGTATAGGAAAAAAATAATTATAAATTATACAATTGTGTGCAAATAAGGATTTTTTAATATTTAAAAATAAAAATGTTTTAGATTTATAAAATTGTTTATGGATAACTTTTCCATTGAGGTCATTCATTGATATTGTTTTAAATTGTTGCTAACTTACTTTCAAACAAGTTGTAAACAACACCACTTATTTAGTTTAATATATGATAATTTCATTTATTTACAATTAAAATAAAGTTACTATCATCATAATCTATATTTTTATAAAGTTTATCACAATTTTGATAAAATCAGGTAGACATAAACCTAATAAGATTGTTTTCTTATAAAAGTAGGTGTTGTGTCATCTCAGAGTAACAGCAGTTGTTGTTTACAAAATTGACTTCACAAGAGTCCCTAATTAGCAATTGTTACATGTATACCTAATGAGATGTCAATGTCAGACAGACCCTACTCATTTTTATAATCAATGGCCCATACCCAACAATGCTACTTATATACATTCTTATACTATGCAGCTGCCACTGTTTATAATGCACAACTACATTTCGTCGTTGCGACTTTAAGACCTCCTATGTGTCACTTTTGGCAAAAACACTTTTTTACACCAGCCTGTTTCACATTTTCAAGCTCTATCGAATGCAAAAACTCTCATGTGTATACGACGATTTAATAGTCATTTGTTTACCAATTTCAAGATCTACCATGTGCTTCCCAATAAAAAGTTGGTTCTTAAAATATCTTATGTGTCAGTGTACACATACGAGTTTTAGGTTCTATGTCACACTCGGGACCTTTCGGCAAATAATTAGATCAAAATATCTTATGTGCATCAGGACGAGAAAGGCGCGTATTTTTTAAATTATTTACCTATGATATCACGGAGACGAGTGAGACAGATAAATTTTATGGTTACTGTCCAATCATAAAATATGAGTAAACCGCTCTGTCTAAGTGAGATTGAGTATCAAGTACCTACTTTGAGAATTTGGGGAACCTCCAAGGGTGGAAAGCTATTCTAGCGGTTACCTTATTACGCCAGAAGATTTGGGCTTAATATCTTCAGGATTGAACAATCAAGATGATGTTACTGAAGATTTATTTGATCAAAGTATCAGCATGCTCCATGCCGCTGAAGACTAGGGTATTCCGTCTGAAGATTACGTTACGAATGCTTCATCTGATCAAAGCATCAGCATACTCCATGCCACTCAAGACCCGAGTATTGCGTCTGAAGATTCTGAAGACTTTACGAATGCTTCATCTGATTATAGCATCAGCATACTCCATGCCACTGAAGACCTGGGTTTTGCTTCTGAATAGAAGCAAGTGCTATCACCAATCTTTCAAAATTTGAGCGATAACAGTGATGACGATCCAGATTGGGTTCCAGTGATTTCGCAGCGGAGGCGGAGTTTTTGTCCGTTACGTAGCCAGGTTGAAGAACATTTGGACTTCGATGAAAGTATTACAGGGAAACAGGAATTTATTTTTAAAACCACGGAGGATCTTGCCTTTTCTGGATGATGAAGATAGTGATAGTGATGACAATGTTACTAGGGTATCATTGCCCCACAATATTGACGGTAATTCCTCTGCTGTACAAAGACCACTTCCATGCACCGTCAAAGAGAACAAAGAAGCCCGCGTTGCCGGTAAATCGTACCTTGGGCATAAGAAGTTAGCTAACAAATGGACAGCGTGCGTTGAGAAGCCTGAAAGAATTTTAAAACCACGTTGCTCACACACATGTTTAGCTACAAAATGTAAAAATTCTTTTCTCTGTGCTCTTGTATCCGACGAAGAACGTGAGAGGTTGATACTTTCGAAGAAAACATTCAGGAACAGACTGCCGAAAACACTGCATCAAGTTCAAATATTATTGCTAGGACAGGAAGGAACGTTGAGTTGACAAAAACTGTTAAGACATGGCTGGATATTTTACCAAAGGAGACGAGCCATTACTGTCGTTCTAGCTCGAAAAAAAAAACTGACTTTTCGATCTGAACTTCACATGCATCAGGTTTTTAAGGACTGGTGTATAGAAAACCAATGCAGAGCTGCCTCTAGAAAGACATTTTCGAAGGTAATGACTAAGGAAAATACAAAGAATAATTTACTTTTGGCACGAAGCAGATGGTAATGTGACTGCTAATGAATTTGCAACTACTTTTATAGACTACTGTCAAAACCTGCCACTTTCCACAGAGCGCGTGATCATCATTTCTGATGGATGCGGGCACCAAAACCAGAACCGAATTTTGTCAAGTGCGCTAAGTGATTTGGCGCAAAGAAGGAAAATTTGCATCGAACAACTTTACCTGGAAAAGGGGCACATTATGATGGAAGTGGATAGTGTTCACTCCACTATTGAGCAGTACATAAAACCACCAATATTCGTTTATTTAAATTTCGAAGAGATGGAATCGAACCTAAAATCCATACGGCCTGGCAAAAAGAAGGGAGATCCTGTCGTGGTGGACATTAGAGGTCTTAAATATTTATCTGACGGCTCCGTATTTTATAGGCTAAGACATGTCGACGAGTGGTCCATACTTCCACAGCGAAGAAATAACCAAAGAAACGGTCTGGTATCTCCAAACCGATTGTACAGATTTCCGTTAAAAATTACTGAGAGCACGTTTAAACATTTACAGGAACTAAAAATGGTAAAAGATCAGGATTATCATCCGTTTTGCAATGCATTACAATTTGATTCGGGTACTTAATAATGCATAATTATATTATCCACAATTATATGGGTACCTCAGAAATTAATAGTACTTTGATTTGTATCTTTTATTTTATGCAATTTTTTGATTCTGCTGTTATCATAACCTAATTATTGTTTTCTGAGAAATATATATAATTTTTTTCATTAAAACTAAGGTTTTTTATTTTTATTTTTATAGGCATTTTTATTCAGAAGCTCTGATGTGATACGTAAAGCGCAACGAAAATCTCTTATGTGTTAATTGAAAACTTTTTTATTTTTTTTTACTATTATACTACTTTCAATTTCAACTAACAATAGCAAACTTAAAAGCAGGAAATCATATGGCTGATACCTATATTTTTTGTTGTAGTTGGTTTCATCATATTTTTTTCAGTAGACGGTTTATATCGATTTTCTCATAAAGTTGAATTTTACACATAAGAGGTCTTAAAGTCGCAACGACGATTTGTTCAATTAGAACAAACAAAATCCGTGGCTGTCAGTCATACTGGCTATCAACAAATTTTGAAAACTTGGTACAACAAACAATGGAAGGTCATACAATGCCAGTATTAATTACCTACTTATAAAACTACGCAATTAGTGCAACTGAACTGTTATAACTTTGAATCATAACCTACAAACTATGATAGATGTATTTTGAGGAGTACAGTTAGGTGCTAGAACTTACCAATCGTTGCAAACTCGTCCGGCGTTCTCCCGCCGGCTAACAGCCAGCGGCACCAGTCGATCGTCTCCCACTCATCAATGGCCTTGCTAGGGTTCAGCAGTACGTCCAGCAACGGACCCAAATGCTGTGGGGATCCATTCTCACAGTCCGCGTGTATGTATGCGGCTGCACCCCTCTTACCCTTCTTCATGAGCACTTGAGCGGTAGAATTCGACATTTTGACACTTTGATCACCATAAAATCTAAACAATTACACTAAACACATAAGTCACCGTATATTTCGGTCACTCACGGAAGAAACACTATTTCAAGTTTTACATAAGGCAATGAACTGCAGTCCGTATCGACGTTGTGGTATAACATTTTTGTAAGTCACTAGCACAATTTTGGTTGAAATTATGAACACGAGAAAACGTTGGAGTTGAAAAAATCACAAAGTGTTGAAAATGGATATAAATAACACCGTTTTATTGAAAATATGCAATGCAGAAACAACTCGGCCATTCGTTTAGTGTTCTTAACGCAAAAAATATTTTTAATTCAGTGTCATGTCATTCTTCAGTTTACATACCAGAGTAAAAAAATATGCGAAAAAACAAAAACATTTTTATTTACTTTTTAAACATATTTTGCACAAAATAAAATGATATTTATCAAGTTCAAGTTAAGTTTAATTCATTATCAGCCCACTTAGCTTAGTTATAAGACCCAATTTTGATTTATCTTAATGTTGTGTTGCATTTGGGTGTGTATAATCTAAACCGTTTTGTGAGAGTAAAACATTTGTTTTCAATTAGTTCTAAGCTTTAAAACAACGTAGAATAAAGAGTGTAAGTAAGATTTAATCAATACAAGTAAATATTATATTTTTTAAAACAATTAAAATACCTTGGGTTTACTATGTAATCTAGAATCGAAATAAAAATCTTATATTTGTGAGGGGGAGGACATATTTCGAAGAAGTTTTAGACTTTTACAGACCTTATGCGCCTAGCTCCGTCACCTGCTTCAGGCCGGGCCGAGATCGAGATATACTATTAAGTTTGACCCGCATTAAAAGAAACACCATCAAGCATAATTTAAAACATTTTTCTGTTTTGACTCGTACTCAGACTCGACATTGACAACTGGATGGATTTTATCTTTCGCTGGCAACTCTAAAAATACTTTGCAGATGGCGGCACGTTTGTCAGACACGTGAATATTTGTATTGTTTTCGTTAAAATAATAATTGAGTGAAACTTTATCAAATTTAAAAGTTAAAGAACGTACTAGTAGTAAATAAATCTCTGCTTTTGTTTAGCGCTACAAATAACCGTCTTTACTGTTTATGTGACGATCAAACTACAGAAATCATGGGAGATGAAAAAAAGGTTATGTTTCATGAAATGGAATTGGATGATCGGATTTTAAAGGTAATTGTTACAATTTTGTGATAAACCATATCATGGAAAAGCATTTCTATGATAACAATGTGAAATAACCCTGTAGCTGGTAATCTAGTGACTTGAAAGACTTGTAAACAATGAATTGATTCCGCGTGGTATAGATTTCTGTTTTTGCGCAATACATAAGTAATTTTGTGTCTATATTTTGCAGGCAATATCTCAGCTGGCATGGCCAGAGCCTACACTAATTCAGGAAACCGCGATCCCCTTGCTATTGGAAGGTAAAGATGTGTTGATGAGAGCTAGAACAGGGTCCGGTAAAACAGCCGCATTCACAATACCAGTTATTCAAAAAATATTAAATTTGAAGAATACAAGCACACATCAATGTATCAGAGCTCTTATACTATCGCCAAGTAAGGAACTGTGCGGACAGGTGAGTGTACCACATGTCTATATCTCAGTGTAAAATAAACAAAAAACTATTGAACCTTTTTTCAAATACTTAACAGTACCATATTATTTTGTAGTCCAATATTTCAGATAACTTCAGTAATTGGTGATCTAACAACAAAATGTGCAAGGGAAGTAAAATGCATAGATATATCATCTAGTGGAGATACAGCCACACAGAAGGCTCTATTGTCGGATAAGCCGGATATTGTAGTGGCAACACCATCTAGGGCACTGGCACACTTGAAAGCTAACAATATGAGGCTGAAGGAAGATCTGGCTGTATTGGTTGTGGATGAAGCCGATTTAGTGTTTTCATTTGGTTATGAGGATGAAATAAAGGAATTGTTAGGGTGAGATTTTACCATTTTATTGAAATCTGTATTCTGTGCTTGCAATTGAAATGGTTACAGTCACACTATGCATAAGTATATAAATAAGCTGTACTTTTAAAAAGTCTGAATCTCATCTGATAATGAAAATTCATTGGTTTTGCAGACATTTACCAAAAATCTACCAAGCAGTGTTGGCATCGGCAACACTCTCTGAAGATGTGCTTAGCCTTAAAAAGATTGTTCTCCGTAACCCTGTCACACTGAAACTGGAGGAACCAGAATTAGCACCTTCAACACAACTGCAACACTACCATTTGTTTGCTGAGGAAGATGATAAGGCGGCCATATTGTATGCTTTGCTGAAATTGAACCTTATTAGAGGAAAGAGTATAATATTTGTTAGGACAGTAGATAGGTGTTACAAGTAAGTATAGAAAATAATGTTTATTTTTTCAATCTCTATTAGTTATGATGTGCGATAAAGTAAACTCAATACTGTCTTGTTGCAGATTAAAATTATACTTAGAACAGTTCAAAATAGGGTCATGTGTTCTTAATTCTGAGCTTCCTGCTGCAGTCAGATGTCTATCAGTAGATCAGTTCAACAGGGGAAGGTATCAGATCATAATAGCATCAGATGAAATGGCCCTGGAGAAGCCAGATGGTGGTATTCTCCCCATAGAAGAGAGAAAGAAGAAAAAGCAGAACTCTAAACGTAAAAAGGACAAAGAGTCAGGAGTGTCAAGAGGGATAGATTTTCAACATGTGTCTAATGTTATCAACTTTGACTTCCCATTAGATGTGAACTCCTATGTGCACAGAGCTGGAAGAACAGCTAGAGGAAAGAATCAGGTAAATAATGAAGACAAATAAATATCTTTGTTATATGGATATTGTAATAACCACAGTCCACCAGTTACAAGCGAAAACCAGTGTAAAGATTTCAAGTTACTACTAGAAAAATGTTTTAGAATGAGATTATGCTGTAAATAAGTGTCGTAACAGTTTATTTTCATTTACAGGGTTCAGTGTTATCATTTGTATCAATAAGAGAGAAGCCACTGATGGATGCAGTTGAGGCTCATTTGTCTAAAGGATTTAAGTCACATCAAGTTATACAGTAAGTTTTATTTTTGATAACCTAATATCTTATGAAACTGTTTACACACAGCTGTTAGTTAACAGCTTAATACAAGTACTTTGATTATATTAGTACTTTTACTTATCATCAAGTGTTAACTAAAAAATTAATTATTTTGTACTTCATCATAAAAAAATCTTGTATTATTTCAGAAAATATGAGTTTGCTCTTGAAGAAGTGGAAGGTTTCCGCTACAGATCACGAGACGCATGGCGCGCAGTCACCAGGATAGCTGTCAGAGAGGCTCGTCTCAAAGAAATTAAACAAGAACTACTCAATTGTAAAAAACTACAGGTAGTCAATTACTTTCATATACCACAACTATGTATTACATATTATAATGCTTTACAAAAAAATAAATTTTCCCTTTCGAATTTAGTAAAAGTTCTATTCAAAATGACTTATTCTTAGTTTGCACTCTTTTCAACATGATGAACAACTTTGTAACATAACACATTGATGATTTGTCTAATCTTCTCTCTGAATATTCTTTCATTTCATACAATTTATCTTTTACAAATTGAACAATATTAACACAAGTCTCTCTGCAGGGATACTTTGAAGAAAATCCAACAGATTTGGCGGCCTTACGAAGGGATAAGGCTCTGCATACCGTGAAAGTACAACAGCACTTGGCACACGTGCCTGAATATTTATTGCCTGCTGCCTTGAGGAGTGATGAGACAGTGGATGATGAGCAGGAAGGCGCTGCAGCTCCAGCGCCCGCGCCACAGAAGAAGAGGAAACAGAACACGCAGTATGGAAGCGCGAAAAGACATAAATATCAAGTAAGATACCGTTCTTTTGTAACATCTTAAATCAAAACGTATTCTGATATAAAAATAATGGCGAATGAAGACATTTAAATATTTAAAAATATATAGAGAGATTTTTACATTTTCTAATTTAATTTTTAACTTTTTTAAATTCACTAATCAAATTAACTTTGTGCATTCCAGGCCCGCAAAAACGATCCCCTTAAAAGCTTGGACGTGAAACAGAAGACAACAGCCGCCGGCGACACGTAGCAGACACTTTGTTAGTATCCGAATGGATAACTTTTTATATAATGACTATGAACGTTATGTTTTTATAAAACCGTTTTATACTCACTCCTGTTAAGGTTGGAACTACACTACGTAGATTTATGGCGCTAAGAAATAAAATTCACTTTGTTATTATTTTGTTTTTGTTTTCTTGGATTAACATTACTTTGCGATATTTTAAAACAATGAATTACTCATTGAATAAGTTTGGTGAACTTATACAACGCAGCTTGCGTTAAAATAATCAGTGCTTGTAATTACAGCCTTACAATCTCAAAAACATTATTCATATTGGAGATGTATAAAAGTGCAACTACGAAAGAACTCGTTGCATTTCATCTGCTTACGTGTTTTAATGCTGCTAGGATGAGTAATGTGCTATTGTCGTCAAATAAATAATTCAAATATTTAAAAAGCTGCTTGCTTACCATCAGAGCGTAGTTCCAGTCTAAATTAACAGTTGTACTACAGCTTGTACTAATAAAGTGTGTCTGATGTTGTGTTTTTCTTTCACACAGTTCGCGTTGGTGTTCTACGAGCTATTTAGTGTAATACCACCGGTTTGGTTAGTACCGTCTACCGTCAATGTTACGCTGTAGCATTGATGATAATAAATTATGATTTATGTTCTAATGGTTCTTTTTTATTTTACAGTTGATTTTTTTTTCAACTTGGTTTTTGTGGGTGTTTGCGTCCGCTAAGTTGAGATTTGGTAAAAAGTGCAATAACTGAATAAGGCGCAATTTACGGCTTATTTCACTGTTATTATTAGATATATGTATATATTACCCAGGTCAACAGTAGACAGCATGTCTTGTTGTCCTTATTTTTTCTGACATCTTATATGCAAGTGATCATCACTCGGACCGAAATGATGCGCCTTAAGCGGTGTTTTTATCTACCTATCTGAATAAACATAATGTGAATAACCCGAATTGAAGCATGTTTTTCCCTTATTATTCTTTGAGTAGCGTGTCTAAATCTCCTCGCGGGAAACGCGGCATGATACAGCGCTTGCTGTTGTGTCGTATGACCATTACCAGAGGAAAGATGGCCAAAGCTCTTGTTACTCTTCTGATAGTGACTTGTCTTGTTGGGTTGGGTTCGGTTACTCGACGAATAGCTATCGTTTAAGTTTTTGTCTCCCTCTATATGTACCTACTATAAAAAGGAAGAGAATATAAGAAAGATAATTAGCAATAATAATGCAAAAATTATAAGCACGTTCCCTTGGCCACAGAAAAATAACCTTTCGCCGTGATTACACTACTTAGCCTAAAGACGAGTTATGTGATTATATCCACAACTTTTAATGTACCTACTAATCCTCAATAATATTAATTTGCATACTGAATGCATGTCTAATATATATTTTCATTTACCTTTCTCATAGCTTCTTGGATCAATTTTTGCATGTGTATTGTATCATTCATGGTGTGTGTGGTGTTTGTATTGTTATATTTATTTAAACAATTATTTCTAATTTGCTTCCTTAGTAGCTAATGCATGTGCAACTCGTTGAAACGATGATCCTATTCATTTATGCATCATCTCCCAGTAAAACAGGACATAACCTTATTAGTGTGTCAAGGTTAGTTTTTACTGCTTTGTATTATCATGAAGGACCGCGCAGAACGCTAGTCCGACTACCAAAAATTACACGTACGACGTACCCCAATTTGGAATAGTCACAGACGGACTACATCCGACCGCAGTGCAATGGTCGGAGCCCGCCCGGGGCAACCGCCTTCATGATCACGGTACACCCTACGCAAGGTTAGTATGACGTCCGCAATACTCGCACCCGCTTTTATACCCACCGCTGAGAATCTTAATAGCGACTTCTAATTAAAAGGCATAGTGACATCTGTTATCATTTATTAGAAGCACATTAGAGTTGCCTACTATGAAAATTAGGTTGTCTTGTTTTTAAAAGAGTAAATAATTTTAAATTGATGACAAGTTCTTAATTTTGCCGTTTTTTTAATAAGTATTGCTTTGTAATTTTATTTACTTCTAATAAATATTGCTACCTACCGTTAAATCCACAAATCAATATATGGCAATGGATGGAATGACATATGAACTTGAATCTATCAATGGCCATTGAAATAGCGCGCGAATTTAGAATGATCTTTCAAAATCTTTCTGAAGTACCTATTGGTTTGTTTCCTCATTTAAATCTTATAAATACAATTGAACTCTTTAGTGAAATAATTAGTGGAACCTTTTTGTGGCAGGTTGAGTTTGAGTTCATAGGTAATGAAGGGAAGTATAAGAATTTAAGATTAGTGTATTTTTATTTTAAAGTTTCAATCCATGTTTGTTAGAAATGGCCTAAAAGTTGGTATTTACTGCCTATCATTCTAATTATCCGGATGCTTTATATAGCCAATTTATCTTATCAAGAACCTGGTCCATATGGTTTACTTAAGTGCTAAGTTGTAGTTGATATATAACTAAAGGTGGAATTTGGTAACTACACTACTTATTATTGCCTTAAAAAAAATGTTATGTGAAGTGTAAATACCACTCAAAATCGAATGTTGTGATAGACCTTTTGACTTCACTGATTTGTTGACAATAAAAACGACTACTTACATATCTATAATAAAGCCAGGATTGTTGGTTGAGAGGAGAAGGACTGGAGCGATTTTTAGTCAGATTCTGTCACCAAGTTTATTAGAGCCATGGACTCACAGAAAACTAGCGTGACACAACCATAGCATTGTTTTGCGGTGTTAGTGAGGTCACCGGTGGTGGCCCAATCCATTCCTCCTCCGCAGTTCTCTATCCAAACTACTAAAGCCCCTTTCTCCAAAGGCCGGCAATGTACTCCTTTGATGTTGCGGGGTTCCACGTGCTACTCCAATTGCTTACCATCAGGTATTCAGTCTACACGATTGTCACCGTAAGTGTCACTTAAGTACACTTCCTATTTTTAATACACTATTTCCCCCTAAGACAACAACAATAAAACGAACGAATCAACATCATATTTATAAACAATTTATTGCATTCACATAACAGATTTAATATACGGCTAACGATTACGATGGGATCTAGACAAAACAATTTATAATTCTTAGAAAACTAGTTACGTCATACAGATTTGGAATGTCTCTTTTTCTTGGGAGGTTCTTTGATGATGATTTTGGAGTCGCTGAATGCCCTTCGCAGTGTGAGGGCTTGCTGCCTCAAGGACACGTTCGTTGAGGACTGTAGAGAGGAAAGGGGTCTGTTCAGGTAGTACCCATACGGACCCATTTCACGACGTTGCCAAGGACTGGTTGTAATCCTGCAGAAAAGGAAATAAATCAGAATTTTGGTCTAAAATGTTGCTTTTAACCTCTGATATCAGATGTTAAGAGAGGATACCGAACACCTGTTGATTAAATAAAAAAGGTTTAATTAAAAATGAAGTGTAGAAAATCCTGTGTTTGATCATCATGGATCACTTGTTTTTTATCTTTGTAATTTTACCTAGAAGATGTTCACAGCGGAACGTTGAAGGGAGGTCTACGTACTTAGAGTTCCACATTTCCGGTTGGAAGCAATTTATATGCATTGAATCAATTTCTTAAACTGACCATATCATGAGCGGCGGCATATCAGGTCGAGGCCTCGTGTGGATGTATATAGCGAGTGGGGCTGCTCCACACATCCATATCATCCACTGCTGCATCATCTTGCGACTCTCCTCGTCTTCTTCTGACAACATGGGATCGTCCTGGAATAATATAAAATTATAGGTACCTACTAACGTTTTATGAATGTTCTGGACGACAAAGATTAGTCTTACAGACACGTACGAGTACGTCGGGCCATGACCCATTGACTTATTCCCTTCAAAAGTTAATTTTTTAAAACATGTTTTTATTGGAATCGTCAATAAGTTTCAAGGATAAACACTTATTTTGGTTGCAAGTTTACAGATAGATGAGACCAATGCATATTTTTAATAAATTGGAATTAAGTTAGGTAGGTACTCTTTTTATAAGGTTTATGCCTCTTATGGACCAGAAATCGTCGTTGTGAATTTGAAGGTGAGAGGGGAGTGTCAGTTTTACTGATTAAATACCACGCCGTTCTTTCTCCTGGTTCAGGCTGAGGCCGCGGTACCTAATTGAGATTGCCTCGCTAACCCAGCTGGTCGATTTGAAGGTGAAACGTTTTTAATAGTTAATAAATAACTGTTTGTGTATTACGAGGGGGCACTGCAATATTTACTTACATCAAAACAGTATTCCACGACAGTTTTCAACACTTTCACCAGCATAGCCCAGAACTGTAGACTGTATATCACCATCCACATAAAAAGAAGGTGCTGCAACACGAAGAATTAATATTAGTAAGTATCTATTTAATTGTTAAAAAATATAGCTTACGCTGTACGCACACGTGAACCCGGAACGCTGTGCGATGCCCCAAAATGACTTGGAATTTGTACAACAGAGTGAGGTATTCTCAAATAGTTCGCGTGAGTTGGTAATCTTTTTTAATCAGCGAAGAAATGTATTAACCTTTCATCTTTGGTAAGATCGGGAAAGGTATTACTATAATTGAGTTTCCCGATTTTTTAAATATTTTTTGTATCCTTGGTTTGTATAGCCTACCTCTGTCTCTTATATCCTTCAATTTATATAGTCCGAAATCTTTTCCCTTAGATAAGGAGAATAAAATAACTGATATAGTATTAGTTATTCCAAACACATTTCGTAATTATACCTGTAAAATGAGCTCCCAAAGTGGCACTCTTCGGAACACGAATCGCCTAAAGAGCGCTCCAAGTAACCGCTGCGCAAGTAACGCTGAGCCGGCTCCCCACAGAACTGTCGGGACCGCTGACAGCAAACTTTCTCCGCATTTTGTCCATTCCAACAGCTGTTTGTTACAAAAAAGTAATTGTTTTCACTTTATTACTCAACTAGCTAATCCCACGCGGTTTCACTCAGTGCTAGGCTCCATTTGATTGTAGCGTGATGTTTTATAGCCTATAGCACTTGGGAACATTGCAGCTATCAATAAGTGAAAGAATTCTGGGAATCCGACAAGTGGTTTCAAAGATTACCCGCTACATACAAACTTACAAACATACAATACCGCCAACGTATCTTGACGAGTCTGAAGTTAGCCGATAAGCTGCGCAGTACATACACAATTTTGTTCCTAAAAGATCCCTTGCGCAGACAAACGGCTCACTTCAGAATCGCCAAGATAGGTCACCGTACGTCAGAGGTTTGAGAAGAAAAATTGTGAAGAAACCTGGACTTAATACTGAAATCAAATAAAAATACGATTTCAGCAAGCTTTTTGATCACCTAAATGTTCTCTATCTTTCTCCGTGTAAGAGGCCTTTGCACAGCTGTGCGTGATGATAAATGTAGGTAGATTGGTAGAATAAATTATCTTGGTGAAGAGTCATACATAAAAAAACTTGATTAGATTTTGTAGGTATACTTAATTTTTGCGAGAGAAATTGCTGAATAAGGACTCAGCTTGTCGAGTTCCTTAGAAGTTGAAAGCAGTTAGATAAAAACATTTAAAGGATAGCCTACAAAATAAAAAAAATATTGATTGGCGATTCAGAACTAACTTCCTTCTCACCTCGACTAGAACGTAGTGTTTATATGGTCTTTGGCCTCGATTGTGCAGGCATGATGATAACCTTTTCTTTTTGTCAGGGGAAAATCATTAAATGACTTCTCCCGCCCAGGGTTAGGCGAGAGAGAGTGTCGGACTCTTATTGACTAAAAAACCCCTCCCGTTCCTTCTCCTGCCCTGGGCCGAGGCCGCGGTGACTCATTGCGCTTAACCAGCAACCCCAGATGGTGTTCTGAACTTACCTCAATTCCCTCATTTTGTGCATAACTCCATATAGTATCATAGCTTTCCCACATCACAAATCTTTGAATGAAAATTATTAACAGCGAAATTTATCATTTGTATTTTAATTTATAAAACTTTCTTGTTGATTTTTTACAAAAATAGTGCCTAATTCCCTATGTCACCATGGTCGTTTTGACATTTTACCATAGGATTGACAATATTGACATAATATTATTATAGTTTTAAATATATTAGTTTGGGCGAAAGTAATATCAACCTTTATGTCTATATGCAAATATGAATAAGAGCCTTCTCTCCCTGTCACGTAATGCAACACAGATGCCTATTATTTTAGGCTCACGGTTTTAAAATGTTAAACCAATCTTGAATTCTTGAGATCCCTATAATACCTACTATTTAATTTCTGTATCAATATGCTCCTTATAAGTATTTCTCACGTCGGAAAGCCACGCACCAGTCATGATATGGGTATCATGGTATGGATATGTTTTACAGTGTGAATCAAGTTTTTTTTTGTATGTGATAGGGCGGCAAACGAGCATACGGATTACCTGATGGTAAGCAATCGGCGTCGCCCATGGACACCCGCAACAAAGAAAGAGTTACCAGTGCGTTGCCGACCTTTTAAGGATTGGGATTTTGGGGATTTAGGGATTGGGAAGAGATCGGGGTAGGAGAAGGATTGGGCCTTCGGTAACCTCACTCATACGGCGAAACACAACTATGTGGTTGTTTCACGCCGGTTTTCTGTGAGGCCGTGGTATCACTCCGGTCGAGCCGACCCATTCGTGCCGAAGTATGGCTCTCCCACACTTAGTTAAAAGTTATGGAGGATCTCATCTTACCCCCATCTTCAATCCAGCGCAAGGGTAACTAATCTGGTAGCGATTGTCCATGGACGGCTCCACTTGCTCACCTAACATCAGATTATCTGATCTCGTTTGCCACATACGCGATAAAAAATACAAATTGTTGAACAAATAAAAAGGGATCCATTTCGTCACAACAAATTTTAATAAAACCAAAGTTAAGTAACAAGTGAATCGATCGGAATCTTGTCGATGCTCCTCCAGGGACAGTCATCAAGACTTGGTTTCTTTGTCGGAGACAGCACCAACGACGCCGGGGTCCTGTGGACAGCACGTGCACCTCGTCGACTGTGAGTAGGAAAGTTACAATTTACAATTTTTTTTAGTTTTATTTATTATTTTTTATTCGTTTTATTTATTATTTATTTTTTTATTAGTGGGTTGAAAAGGCTACAATTACGTATGCGTATATTAGTGCTTAGGCAAGTATAGATTCGTACCTATAGTTTTTTATGAATTTGTTTAATTATTGGCATAGAATGGCAACATAGAATGGGTTTGTAGTATCTTCAACCTTGCTTGAAGTTCAAACGAGGAACACGATTTAGGTGGTACGTATATTTCACTACAATATTAATAAAAAATCTCAAAAAGTTACTGCAAGGAGTAAATTATGGTTTTTATAAAATGATGATGTCATTGGTAGATTGTTCGACAATATTTATGTGGGTAAGGGTTGAAGAGGTGCAGTCGTAACATCAATCTTAAGGTGTATCTAATAGTTGACTCTTTGTCTCGCATAATCGGTGCAAGGGAAAGTAGTTCTTAGCTCGATACTCACTGTGACGTAGTTTCTGAGTTTCTCGATAGCATCAGCAGTGGTCTCACTCGACTGGGAGACCAGCCGTACATCGATATCCTTCTGGGGCTTTGGATGCGCTGTGGCAGACTCGCTCTGTTGCCCATCACCGCAAGAGACCCGGCTACACGCGCCGCTAACGTTGACTGAAGATCTCTTACAAGACGCGCTCCCACTCTAGTTAACAACGTTTAGCCTAAATATACTTCTCCTTTCAAACAACCGACTGAGCTAATCGCCTTAAAGCTCTACTAGTAACGTTCAGGCGTTGAATATAAACTTAAAGCATTACGTATGCGTGCAGTCTGGTATCGGATTAGGATCAATTTGTCGTGGTGGTGTGAACCCTCGTAGCCGCTGGTGGACGGAACCGACGAAGCTGTTGACTTTCTCTACGGTGTTGTGGAGCCCTTGTACGGCGCGATTGTGCAACTCGGTTTGCCTGCACAAAAAAAAAAACAATAGTTTTATTTTGGATAAAAATCTACTTTGACTGAATAAAGTAAAACAGATTGACACCCGGTTTCCGAAAGGCCGATCAATGTTAAAATCGATTTAGTCTCTTGTCAAGTCATCTGATTGGTTGACTGAATTATTAACAACCAACTTGACAAGAGATTAATTAATTTTAGCGTTGACAAGCCTTTCAGAAACCGGGTGTAAGAGAGACAGTGGGCGAATGGCATTGTTAGAAAAAAATGTAATTATGAACCATACCAACCACTGTTCCAAATACGGCATATTGAACCTCTGACAGTAGTTCTTACGGACGTAGTCCGCGTAGCAAAGCGACAGGAACCAGCACGCTGTCATGTGGATCTGGGGCTGCTGCTGGCGCAGGAACCTGGTCAGCGGGCCCAGCGGCATTATCTCAGTCTGCCCGCCCAGCAGACTCGCTGTCGTCATTTCCAACAGCATGCTTGGGCTCTGCTCAACAACACGTTTGAAGTAAGTACTGTTGTTACTCATTCTCAGTATACTAAACTATCAAATTGTCAATGTCTCAGATTGCAGTAGGTATGCAGGTTTTCAAACTTTGCTTCCTTCCATGTAGGCATATTATGTATTAGGATACTTACGTCTCTTATAAGCGTGTCCAAATAGTACTGGAAGAAGCGCATGGAACAAACCCATAAGTGGATCATCAGGGCTAGCATACCGAGAACCATAGTGGACTGTGAATAGAAAAATGAGGATTATTACGTGCCATTGGAAATAGATTTGAGTGATACATAATCTCCTTTCAACCACTTTCAAAGTAACATAAAAATTATTATTGACTTTGATATTCCTATTATTCAGGTAAAAAAAACTCACAATCAAGGTCTTCTCGAGCATGGAGATGTGTGCTTGGTCTCCAGTAATGAACACAGTAGCCTCCAGTTCGTTGTAGAGGAAGAGGGCAGCGGCGCTGGCAAACACCGCCGTCGGGCCCACCCCCCATATCTCGCCATTACAACTTAACCATTTCGCGACAACCTCCAAGTTTGTGTCGTAAAAATTCTGTATCATAGAACATTGTGAAGAAGAAAGAGTTAATAAAAAAATTGGTAAGTATCTTACTACATTTACACTCATAAATTATGGAAGACAAATAATCACATTATAAAACTTTTATAGATTCAATTAGCTGCTTCGCAATATTTTGCAGTCCATCAGTAATCAAGTTTTAGAACCAAGCTTTAGAAGATAAAATTATTTTTTTTTAATTCGTGTGAGGAAACTCCTTTTTTGACAAATTCGAAAATATCACACTGTTCAAAAATATAACGGTCATTTAGGGTACTTAACCTAACCTGTACCTAGGTACATGTCCCTATTTACTCACGTAATGCGTACAGAAGCTTACAGTTTTGCCTGCCATGCAAGCGGCGTGCGAGTTACACTACAAGTCCCTCCTATATTTAACATTTTCACTTTGCAATTTCATTTATATATTTTTATTACACTTTTGATTTAATAATTGTTCGATTTTTTGGTTAGATTAATCCTTCATACTGATCCTACTTTGTGACGTTTGCAAAATGACGTGTCGAAATCAAGATGGTATGTGATTGTTGAAACCTCTTTTTGTATATTGAGCGATGAAAAGAGAACGAATATCTTTAGTAGTATTGCAGACGGATCACCTGAAGTTAAGCACGCCATTCGAATTGCAAGTGCATTGCTGACGTCTAGATGGTTAGGGATTTAGCGTTTTTTTATGTGATAGGACGGCAAATAAGTGTACGGAATACCTGATGTAATACCTACCTATACGTGTCGCCAATATACACTTGCAATACCAGGGAAGCTTACTGGTCTTTTGTCGATTACGATTGCGGAGATTTTAGGATTGGAGGAGGGAAAGAGAATTGGGCTGTGGTGGTTCCACATCGGTTTTCGGTGAGGCCTTGGTGTCATTCCGATCGGACCGACCCTTTCATGCTAAGCATGGCTTTCCTATATTGAGTGAGATTGGTTGTATCCTATCCATGGAATCAAAGTTTTGACGTAGATACGTGTAACTTTACTAAGGAGTTTGTGTTGCGTGGGGCAAATTATGAAATGACTTTAAGGGTCAGACTCATACTGACTAAAATCCCCGTTCCTCCTCCTTCTCCAGGCTGAGGCCGCAGTACCTACCTTACGCGCTTGCTGCACAACTTCAGCTTTACTAAGGACTAAGGACTCTTATTTGAACGTCCATTTCAGTATATGATGGTAAATAAAACACTGATATATTTGTAAAACAAATGTCTAGATGAACCTGTAATGGCTGGTACAGGCACATGCTAAACATCTGCCGTTTATTCTAACACATAGGTATAACGGTCACAGCACTACACACAACTCTACACAACAATATACTGAGTACATAGTTCATTATATAACCAATATAGAACTTATACATTAAATATAAATTAACATATAACAAAACTAAATTAAATAACTCTGTGGGTATATGAACTACTTTTTAAATATACATATATTTTTTTATAAAAACACTTATTTCGAACATTTTTTTTATGTAAGTACGCTAATATATAATGAGAAAGTGATTATTGTATAACGATATTTATAAGCTACATATTTTGACCGCTATCGATTTAATAATCTTCCGAAAAAAGTATGAATGATTGAACAACTCTAGTGGGCGATTACCCCTACGTACGTACCCCTACCCCTAACAGTATATAATGGGTATTTATTTCATATCCTTTCAACAAAGCTAGGAAAAATGGAACGCCGTCACCGAAATTTCTCGAAAATGTATCTTTATTCACACCTACACAATAACATCCTTCTATTGTAATATCATTATCATATTTTTAAGTAACAATGATGTAAATATCCTGCCTACAATTTACTTCTACAAGCAGACAACATGAAGACCTGATCGAAAGAATATCACTGCAAAAGTGATAACTGTAATACATGAACATGTCTAAATATAAATATATCTACAATATAATATTATTCCTACAGGATGAACAAGTATAATATATTTTTTTATATTCCACTAACAATGACTAGATTCAAAATCTATGCGTATGTTCCCATAAACTTCATTTCAATTCTCTAATATTTATGTACACATGTTTGTATATTAGATTACATAGAATAAGAATATATCAAATACAGAATATACATTATTTCTGCACTCATTGCCCAAGAATACAGAAATAAATATATAATTATATCTTAATTTAAAGCCTATTTACAAAATGGGGTTTGCTTAAAACTACTAAAACGTATTTTAAAATTATTCACAAAGAAATTATTTAAAAATTATTACCATCCGTACGCATGTATTTTTTTTTAATCTTGCATAATTCCAGATGGTAATAATATTACTTTTACAATCCCGCAAATGTTTTATAGTCTGTCCAGCAACACTTTTGATATAAGTACATTATAAGGTAGATATATTACTAAATATAAATAAATCCTAAAACTAGTCCTTTATATATTATATATAAATATTCGTTGTATATATTAAAACACGACAATAACACTAATCGATACATATAAACTTTGGAATAAATATTTGTTCTAAGAAATGCTAGTTTTTCAAAGCAGGAGAAATTTTCCTTCCCTATATTTTAAAATGTATAATGTCTTTATTAACTTTAATATATTCTTATGTTTATTAGCAATTACAATAGAATATAGAAAACCACTACTTCTATGTGGATATCTATAACATTGTTAAAACTTCTAACAATTTACCAAAAGCTGATTATGCTTAAATTTTTGATAACACACTACGACATCGATTATATTTTCATTTAATTATAAATATTACATACAAGATACCGGAGTTTCTTTTAAAGAAAATACTGCAAAATTAAAAGGTACAAACGCAAGCAGATCAACCTACACCAATGTTTCAATAATTTTCATTGAAATTTCAACATTATAATGAAAGCAGAAAGTTGAAAATATTGAAATTTTACATGAAGGAGGTTGATCTGCTGGCATGTGTTTTATTTTTAGGCAGAAATATATACTAGTGTATAAGTACTAGACGAGCCATTCTATCGCAGGCTTGGTGTGTGAAGGTGCTGAGGTGTAGGTGTGGCTAGGTCACAGGCTGCACAGAGTGGGGTCTGATGGCGGTATCGACACTACTTCAGGGCGCTTTATCGTCTTGATACGCTGGAGGAAGATTTCGAGGTCAGAAATATGGTAAACATAGTGCTTATGGTCAATTTGTTGCTTAGGTAAGCAAATATCAACATTTACCTATCAATCGTGGTAAAGCGAGACACAATAGGTGAGCGAACGCCGGCTTTCGCTTGGGGTTTCACGAATTAATATAAAAAACTAAGGTTACCTTTTCATATTTGGAATCTGAATATAAAAGTAGTTTGGTGTAGATCCACCTTATTTTAGTCTGAAGTCTGAAGTGTGAGTAAGATATCCCCTTTCTTCCTTCACTGTAGAAATTGCTTGTTTTTAAGCAATTTCTACAGGGAGTAAAAAAGAAATAAGTCAATATACTCACGTGAAGGAAGCTGCCGGGTGTAATGGCGAACTTGTATAGAATGTAGAGCGGGATGCAGGAGACGGTGGTGCCGGTCATGACCCATCCGACTGTGATTGACCAGGGCGGGTACGCGTACTCCCCGCCCAGCATCTCCTCATGAGCCAGCACTGACACAATGAACAGCACCAGCAGGAACACAGGACTTTTGAACAAATAAGATACCTATTATTAACTTGGCTCTATAGCTTTTTTAATACCTATATACTTTGTGTACATGTATGTAAGCAAGACATATTTTTGAGGGAAGATTATCATGTCTTCTCCCGGCCGAGGTCGTGCGATAGAGATCGTTAGATTCATACTGACTAAAACCACCCCGTTCCTTTTTCTGTTCCGGGTCAGGCCGCGGTACATTGCACTTGCAGACGTAGCACCGACTAGCCATCGGCTTTTGATATCACACATGGAGCCTCCATGTGTGATTACTAACACACGTCCATTGGTTATTCGCATTCACCCGTATCAGTCAATTACAATTTCCATAATTTCTATTCACCTGATATAAGACCAACAGGCCCTCCAGAACCAGCCAGGCGTATGTCCGAGCATTGTCCTCACATCCTCAGAAAACCGGTCCACTCCATACACCCAGCAAACACCAGCTGCCTCCGCGAACACCACGAATAGAATCGCCAACCCTGGACCGTACACGTTTAGGAGATCCACCAGGTACACTCCTCCCTAGAAGGGTAATAAAGAATGCTGCTATGCTCTTCAACTTTCTATTTATCAAATGGGAGGTTCAAATTAGCGTTTGCATATTTTAAGAACAAATTAAGAAAAAAATTTTTAGTACTTTTCAGTACTTACTAACCCCATATAGTACCTACTGTTTATAAAATTATTTAGATAGCAAACAAGAAAAAATGAAACCAGTAACCTACACTATAGTTATTTACTCCAGAAATCGAGTCACATTGTACAGGCTCACAGATCCAAAGCCGTGTAGAAATAGACAATGTATCAGAAATAACAATTACAAGTCCTCACATTCAACACATCTATGCATGAACCAATCCGTTTTACTTCCTAACCCTCAGTAATAAAAGCAAGGGCGAAATAAAAACAAAAGAAAGCGTTTGTCGGAGCAGTGAGCGAGCGTGGTGCCAGGTCATCTTGTTGAGTGATGACCATGAATTATGCAACGGAATACATTCGCACAGATAACGAAACGGTAATTTATTAGTGATACCTGTGTTGTGTTGCCGGGCCGGCTTCTGTACTAGTTTTAGGAGCAAAGAATACTATGTATTTGCAATAGTTAGTGTCTGTTTCCTAATTTCTAAATAGCTACTATATAACAGATCCATTTGGATATAGAATCTAATTTCTTTGACTGTGTGCTTTATTGAAAACTTATATGAAGGTAGAAACATGCGCTTAGATGCAATGATGTATAAAACTATAGATACGTTGTCCGCGCTCTAAAATGACAACATGAAATGAAGGCAATTGACAACATCGCGCTTAGTTACGCACCAACCTGCCGCGCGACGCTACGTTTGTCTCAGAAACATAAAGAAAGCATGTCGTCGTGTGTGTTCAGACGATGTACAAATTATACTCCAAAAGTTAAAGACAAAAATGTGTCATTTCATGCGTAAGTTCACCAAACAACCTATTTTTATTTTATTTTTTTATCTAGCCATCTTATGGCGGCCGGCGCATGAAGGTATAGTCACGTGCCGTCGGCATAACTGAAGATGTATATTTATCTCCCTCTAGCAAAGGCATTCCACTATACGATGTCATATTTTCTTTCCCTTTCTTTACTCGTAGAAGTAGTTATCTAGTATTTTCGCCGTTTTTAAGCACCGCGATGTTGGTTCATGACGTGTCTATATATAATACGTCATTGCTTAGATGACTATTTTGAACTATTTCTCGGATCCGAAATCTTTTTGCAAATTTTCGCCTCACTTACTTCGATTTTTTTGCCATGTTCCCGATCTTCACAAATATTTTCGTATACAATTTACTGTGACTCTTAAACTGATTGAAATTCTCATTCGCAACAGAGATGTGAATTTAACCGTGCAAACCCACTTAATAAATCTTACAAACTATTTGAAGAACATCATATCAAAATAACAATTTTAGTAGGCTCAAGCTCGGTCCACGTGGTCGGGCCCTACATTATCCATTTTGCTCCGGTCATGAGTCACGGGTAGTTGGATAGCGTATGATGAAGCAATAACGCTTTGTGCTGACTCGGCTCGGTCGTAATCTTTCACTTACCTCGCCATACCCCGTCTTACCAAACTGCCCAATAATTTTACCTACTTTTTATGATCATGGAATAGAACATTGTATGGGACAACTCATATGTTTTGGTTTGTAGATTATACAGGTCCTAGACATTGCAGTGCTTGTGTGTTCAGCCTATTGATTGACATGTTGACCTTTGTGAATCAAATGCCGTCCATGAAAAGGTTCAATTTTAAAACCTTTAGTAGCAAACTAAAAGCAATGGTGAAACAAGTTATTTTAGAATAGTTTTGTAATCGCTTAGAAACCTCTTTCTATAGATATCAAAGTCTGTAGCAACTTTGTCTCACCAACATCAGGAATTTAAACGAAGCATTGTTGATAGAAACAGAATATACTGGAAATAATAAGATGCAATGACTTGGAAAGGTTCCGAGTGCCCTCATAAGTAACATTGTTTTGTTCAATGAAATATAACGTAGTACACGAAGCCGGTCAAGCAGAAAACCAACGATCTTGCCAAGTGACTGTTGGGTCTACTAAGAGGCTTATAGAATACAACAGGACAGTTAGAAGAACATCGATGCACGTTAATATGTACCTATATGTGGTCACAATTTTACAGAAGTAAATTTGTCAATTAGAGAAAAAGTTGCCATTTCTATCAAGGTCATAAGGACTTACGTAGGTAGTAGTAGGCAGGGCACAGATGTAGATGAACAGCAGAAGTACAGCTACGAACGCTTCTCGATGCCGACCCAACACACGTGGGTATTCGTCACACAGAGCTGTAGTTACGGCTTCCAGACCTATGAAGACAGTTAAAGGTTATAATGTAAGACTGACGACAAAATTATTTACAACATTTAGGCTAGGTGCAAAAGAGATTCGAATGTTTCTGGCCATAAAAGTTTAGATACAGTAAAAGTGATGAAAAGATCATATTTCTTATAAATCAACTTACCTCCAAAGGTGCTGTCCAATCCAAGCGTGATAAGCATCAGGAAGAATATGATGGCCCAGAAGACGGAGCCAGTCATGGTGGCGATGGCTTCAGGATATACGATGAAGACTAACCCTGGCCCTTCTAGACCTACCTCCTCGATGCTCTTGTTCTGGACGTGCGCCATGTACCTAGAGTAAGGTGGAAGATTAGAGGTGTAGTATAAGAAATCATCGCGGTCAAATTCAAAGTGTAGTTTAAGACATTCATGAATCATTTTCGAGACCCATTCATTAGTACCTTTATTTAGGAGACTATACTATGCCTTTCCAGAATATGTAAAAGGGTAACTAGTTGAAAGAGAAAGAGTCAGTATTGAAACATAACAAAGTGATAAAATCTTTTCCATAACTAGTAAGTTAGTATGAATGAGAATAGATATTAAAATTTGAGTTTAAGAATAAATGTGCACTTACCCTAAAACGGAGAAAATGACGAAGCCAGCGAGGAAGCTAGTGAGACAGTTGATGGAGGAGGTGATGAGGGCATCCCGGTAGCAGTTGTTGTTGAACTTGTTGTAGCTGGACAACGCCAGCAGCGTGCCAAACCCAGGACCCAAGGAGAAGAAGATTTGAGAAGCCGCGTCTATCCACACCTATATATGGTAAAAAAAAAGATTTTGGAATATGGCAGGGACTTATAATCATCTAGAAGTCTAGACCTTTTAAAGATATTTAATTTATAATAGAACCACTTAATACAATGTTTTAAAAGAAGTATTTTATCAATTTCGTTATGACCGCATGATTATTATTACTTTTTTTGGAACAGAATCTACATTTGTAATTTCAACTTATATCTAACAGGCTACTTTTAATTTCAAATCTACATTTAGTTTTATTAGCTTACCTTAGAGTTTTGCAGCTTGTGCCACTCCGGTGTGAGGTAATATCGGATGCCCTCAGTGGCTCCTGGCAGTGTCACTCCCCGTGCCAACAGGATTAGCAGCACAGCATACGGAGCCAGAGCAGTGACCCATACGACCTATGTCGAAAAAAAATCAGCTTGTGTTTTAAGAAATGTTTTAGTATCCAAGTCACATTTTAAACCAGTTTTGATTTCCAAATTTACCCAATTTCCTATCTTAAATTTTCTTTCATAAGAACCTTCTCCTGACAATTACGAAGACTATAAAATAAGTTTTTGAGTTATCCGTTTACCAACTCATTTTGCTATATTTTCATATAAAAGAGTATATTCCTTAGCAAGTGTCTTAAATATTCAGTAATTTATTAAATACCATAATTATTTTACCTGAAAGAAACGTAAAATACAATATTAAACGTGCCGAAATTCTGGAAGACGTTTTTCATCTTTTGCGCATTCCCATGAAAAGATAACGCTCGTGATAAATGAGATATGACAGACTTGGAGAAGTGTTAGTATCAATTTAGAAAAACTTCGCCGTTCTCAAGTCTTTTATCAAGTTTTTGTGACTTTGAAACTTTCAGTAGGTATATGAGGTACGATTTGACATTTTGAATTCTTAATTGATTTGATGATCTTATCTGGGTTTGTTCAACTTCGGATGTGTTGAAATTAAATCTATGGATAGGTACCCATAAATAGACATATAAATAATTGTGAATTTCACTGATAATAGATAAACTAGCGATCTCGAACTCGAGCGAACTAACGATTGCAATGCAGATACCAAATTTCTTCACTATTTAATGGTTGTTATTATCCATAAATGTTCATCTACAATCATTTGTATGTACTTAAAAAAACCGAATTAAAATTCGTTGCGTAGTTTTAAAAATTAAGGCATACATAGAGATATAGGGATAGAGAAAGCGAATTTGTTTTATACTATGTAGTGAAATAAGGTGTGTTCGAGTATTAGATTGTTCTTGAGTGTTCTTACCTTGCCAGCACTCCTGACTCCCTTCCACAAGGAGAAGTAGACGAGGACGAAGACCCCGAACACACAGAGGGCCAGCGAAGGCTTGATGGGACCCATGTAGTCCAATCCATTGGATTTATGTTGCTCCAGTACGTTGCGCCTATTGGGGGAGTTTCAGGTTTTTACAGTGGTATCAATATTTTAGGACAAGCTTAATTAAGAGTAAGGTTTTTCTTCAGGGGAAGATTATCAAATGACTTCTCTCATGGGTGAAACGAGAAGGGGTGTCAGACTCTTACTGCCTAAAAGCCCCCTAGTTCCTTCTCCTGCTTCTGCTGCTGCACCCGCAGCAAGTAAGAGAAAGTTGAAGAGAAGATACTGAATTAAGCCCCAAGCGACACCTGGTAGAATCGATGCAGATTAGAGAGCATATTAATATTTTTTTAAGTTGCATTTAGAATGGGTGCAGCCGCTATTGTATAGCCATCAAACGGCATATAAAACAAATTCGTACTCAAAGAACTCCTTAGCTGGTGTGGAAGAATTAGGATTGATCTGTGGAGCTGTGACTGGTGAGCAGAGCGGGGTGTTCCACTCGTTGTTGCAGCTGGTCCAGGGCAGCACAGAGTTGATGGATGAGATGGAAGCCACCAGGTAGTACACCGCCCAGCCGATGATCGTGTTGTAGTACATGCCCATGTAGATGTCGATCATGCAGATCGCGTAGCCGACGCCTGCGGATAAAATATTGTTTAGCTTTTCTTCCTGGCATCTTTTTGTAGATTAATACTGACCGCTATGTCGTACAATGGTGTTCCACGCTAGCGGAGGATTAACCCAACAATTTTATGTCGGCAGTCAAAGGACTGCCTGACTGATAAAATTGTTACAGTTGTTACAGTTTATAAACCGTGATTAGTCTTTACTAATCACGGTTTATAAACTGTATACCTACTTTCTCACCAAAAACTTCTAAAACATAATAGAGATATTAGCTTTAAAGATAGTTGAATATATTCAATAAACCCAACGACAATTAACACTCTTCCCTTTAAGTTGAACTGAAATGGTCCTAAAAGCGAATCAAACCAATTTCCCCGCATCTTCGCAAACTGCCAATAAAACAGTATTCATCCATTTATCATCTCATAATAAATCTTCAAACATTCGAAATCAAATTAATCAGTGCAGCGAGCGTCAATTTCCACGACACAAAGTTAGTCCAACTTGTAGAAATCAAATCTCTGCCATCTGTCGTCGCGGGTAATCAAATGATATCGCATCGCCTCCACTAATTAGTTTACTCGATACAAGATGGCGTTATTCACAATCTTAGCTCGGATCTACTGCACTGTTGAATCGGTTTGTTATACGACACACAAATAGGGCAACGTTGTTAGTAAATTTAATTTTGGATGCCGAGTCTCCGTTTACTTTTATATTTCTCCGCAACGAAAGGGTTTTTTCTTAAGTGTAATAATTATTTTTGTACCTCTAGTTAATCGACTACAAATTGAGTTAAAAAGTGCACGTGTAATTGTATTGTTAATCGCAGTAGACTTAACACGCGAAAAGGACGAACCCATAATACATTGAGACATCTCTCAATATAATAAAAACACCCTTGAATGTAATGTGCATAAAATACACACATTAATCAACACCACAACTTCCCGCTACCAAAAATTCTCTTTTCCCCAATTCGTGTACCGTCTCATTCCGTATTTTGACACGCAATCAATCGGGAGGGAATATTGCCATAAACGGCGTCGGGAGGGCATCCCTCTGTTATCAGAGGACGGCCCTTCTCCCGATAGCGGTGATCTACCGTCGCATGTGATAAAACCGAGTCGTAAACTCGTGTAGTAGGTATGTGAATGTTTAAAATATTAGGTCACTTTTGACGGTATTTCTATAGAAAAGTCTTTGATGACTTTGTAATAGGTACATAGATAATTTTACTCACGTTTGCGCTAAGAAAGTGAAGAAGAAAGAGTTAAGACTTCAGAAAGGAATGAACTCAGTTGTTTGACCGAGAATCAAATCATCAAATCTAGATCTAAGCTGAATTAACACAGGCATCTTCGTGTACTATGTGCACAGTTGAAAAAAAAAAAAACAAGAAACGATCACTAAGAACTTGTATTATTTTAAAGTTGTGATTTTTTTAGAACACCCTTTTGAAACTGCAAAGCTTTTAAAGTTTCATATAGTTCAGTATTGAAATGAAAGAGATAAACAAACAAATGAAACCTTCCTTTCTTATGAGTGTGTGTAAGCTGTGAGTAAGGCCTACGGGGCCCCAAACAAAAACGTATCAATATCAAAGATATGTCGTTATACCGTAAACTATGCGTTAATTGGATCGCTCACTAATTAATGTTTCTTGGTCACAGAGTTAATGATTTATAAGGAAGTGCAGTTTACTATGTTTTCTTGTATTTTTCTCTTTCTCCTTTTGATCAAAACTCAACATGCCGCAGTTCTTTTCTTATACGTGTAAGAGATAGGTTCATTATTAACCCAGTTTTTCGAGTAGTACTTATCGTGAAACATATATTCGGCAAACTTTATAGGTACAGACTACTTTTTTAATTTTGTCATATTCTCTGAACTTTTTAAACCCTCCCTGTATATCCAGGAATATTTAAAGACCACAATAACCCATGTCGGTTCAGCCTTCCTCGACTTGTAGCGAGACTAACGAACAGCAATAGATTTTTATAAATGGGAAAAGAAGTGTAAGGACTTCCTTACGCGAATTAACTGAGAAGAACTCTACTGATTTTAAGTCTCATTGTGACTCTCATTCGTGAACTTGAAACTACTTAAGGTTTCTTCTACTTCTAATGTTAGATATACATTCGATATTTTTTATCAAAGAATTATCAGTAAGCGTAGAAGAATGGATCCATATTTTAATCATTGAAACCGCAACTTGAATACCAGTCAAAATTTATAATTGAAACGGATATCGGAAACAGATTTTGGTTTCGCAAAAGATATCGAAGCTTCAGACTTTCAACTTCTTTTGTAAGTTACGTGATTGGTCAAATTATCACTACTGAGCATCTACCGGGATACGAACTTTGATGCGGCCAATACGACACGGATCAAAAATACTTTGGCAGATACTTTCAGACGAAGTAACGTGGGGTCGAGGACTTCACCTATATATCTGTGTTAAATATCATATGATGTGTATAAACTAAACTCGTTGAACAAGTACATATACGTAACACAACGTTGACGTTTAGTATAAGAGCTGCTTTTGCAGTTATTAAAATTAGCAATATTTTTATATTTTCAAATCTCTCATCCGGATATGTTTTTCCCTATGTACACAAATCTACTTAGATTGTATTAAAACTAACAGTTAGTTAGTTTGCATCTCCGTGTGAAAGTATTTAAGTTAAGCAGAAAATTGCTCATAGTAACCCCTTACTTTTATAAGCACAGCGGATATCAAAGATAGGTATGTTTTTGTAGTACAACGCTCCGCCCGTAGCAGGTGCTCGAAAACAGTGCTACGTACGTAGCAGGATTTCTTAGGCAAGCTACGAACTAGTACGTAAAAATGAAAATATTGAAGTAATTATATGCAAAATCTACTTCTTCTAGCCTATATTTTTGACTTAGAACTAGTTATTGGTACAGAGACTGCCTCGACTGAAATCTGAACGCTGCGTGATCCGCTCGGCAAACATTTGCGATGCCCTTCATCGGCTCGTTCCAACTTATATCAATGTCAGTCGGGAAATAACTAACTCGTATTCGCGACTCACTAGTTAGCTTAGAATGTTTTGAAGGGTGAAGAAAAAAAAGAATGCTATTACTACTTATCACAAAGTTTTAGGTGTCATTCCCAACTTTAGTAGTCCCATTAAGATGTTTAATTTCGTAACAGCTTATGGGTACACAATATAAGACCAAGCATAACCATCTGAAAGTAAGTAATGACTAAAAATATTTTGATTTACTTTGTTTATCAAACCCTTCTCTCTCTAGCTTACTCTACTGATAAGCTAGCTATCATTGGCCTCTCAATCAAAAGTCAATCCACCAAACAGTGGCTGACTTTGGATCCATTTCATCCATTTTAACTAGGTATCCACTTGGTCCCACCATTTGTCCGGTGTTAAAAGCATTGCCTCCTGTATATTTATAAGACGTTAGTAATGTCGGATAGTGGCCGGACAGCCCCGCACGGCCCGGATTCTCGGACACTTCGCGTTTACACACGAATGCCAGATTTTCCCTTATATTGACTTTGGGAGAAACAATATAGGTAAGTGCTAGATTTGTAGGCTCCTACAATACTAGTTGAAGAGATAGGTGGGGTTGAAGCAAGGTCAGTTTAAAAGGTGAAATAATAAAGTTAGGGATTGAATGTATTGCTCAAAATTAAAAGTGAATCCTGGTTGATTTGCCATTAATGTTTTCAATAATACATATATTTTAGATGAATCATTTCCTCTACAAACTGTTTTGTGTACAATAAGAAATATTTTCATTAAAATACAAAGTGTAAAGAACACTTTAAGCCCTGAACAGTGATTGTTGACGAGGCGGCGGTGGCGGCGCTGCTCCCCGGAGAGCCGCGTGGAGTTCTCTCCAACTTTATTGTTCGATTGCCAATATCTTTGATTGGTCGTCCATTACTCCACGTTTTGTCATTACCGAGATACTTTATGGAGATTTCAAGTCTCTTTTTGTTGTAGTTTTTGTATTGATACTACGATTTTTTAAACACTGTTCTACACTATGGTTTTCTCCTGTATTGTAGGGGCGTTTGCAAACATACAAAACCACAAACACGAGCCAACTAGACCCGAAACAACAATTTATGGATCGCACTAATTACTGTTCCATGCGGGAATCGAACCTGTGAGACGTTGCGCAGCAGCCACTACGCTTAAATTGTCAGATTGACTTCACTATTACTCTGCATCTTGTCGATTGATTTGTAACTTATCAAACGTGCAAAACACAAAAGAATTATAACATTATTAGAGCTTCTCTCACCTTTCAGCGCAGGACAGATCCTTTTCCACAACGTGAGACAGCCGCAGCGATGGTACTGTCCCAGCGCCAGCTCCATGAAGAACAGTGGCATCCCGCCAAAAAGCAGCATCACGCAGTAAGGAATAAGGAACGCACCTGATGATAAAAACTTCCATTTCATACTAGGATTTATTCTTATGAACTGATTATAACTGGTAACACTAAAGCTAGTGTAGTGGCGAGGATATCCCACGATAAGGTATGTGATCCTTAAATGGTTGTTTTGTCTCTGTCTGTGATGCGTAAACTGGCCAACAGTTCTTCTCAACAAATAACTAATCTAAATTAAACTCTATCCGACTACAATAAGTCCTACAATTAGAAGTCCTCTCATAAATGTTTCCTTGTTCTAGCTTTATCTACTTCTACAGATTCTACATACACTTACCGCCGCCATTTTGATAGCAGATGTAAGGGAACCTCCAGACATTGCCCAGGTCTACCGCGAACCCCACCACAGCCAGCAGGAACTCCGCCTTCTTGGCCCAGGTCTCACGTTCCCGAGGCGGAGTCAGGGACACCACTAGCGAACGGGTCTTCTGGGACTGCTGGAAAATTACTAGGAAGTCTAATCTAGATCTAGACCATCCAGGCGTTTAAGCAGATTGTTATTTTTTTGACGACACGTTTATTAAATACGTTACTTATACCTGTGTAATTAAATTCAAGACTTTAATACTTAGTGTTTTTTTTTGTCATATGTCGGCAAACGAGGGCACCGTTTACCTGATGGTAAGCAATCAGCGAAAACATAGCTCTTCCACACCTAATACTTTAAGTGTTAAAGTATCGAAATCAAGTGTAAATTAGTAGACAATTAGTTTTAAAGATATATATAATTTCTGTTCCTAATATTGGTGATGGTACTGACGTTGTTGGTGGTAGCAGGCGGATCGGGCGGTGGCGCGGTGGGCGCGGGCGGCGCGTCCGAGGGCGGCATCTCTGACGGCTCGCACTCGCCGTTGCGCCGCTCCGGCCCGGGGCTCTCGCCCTGTAAAAATGGAGATCTTAAAATGACTGAATCCAGAAGTTATCTACAATAATATCATAAGAATAGTGGTGGGTGAATAATCCTTAAGTAAGAAAAAAAAAATATATTTAATTCTAGATTGTGTAGAGAAAAATTCATTGCCTCCTATTATAATAATTTTCCACGACAATTCACAATCTATCCATTTCCATTTGGAATTTCCCGCTTCTGAGTTGCAATCTGTCATCAAGACGAAGCAAAATTTACAGCCATTTGAGCTCAACAGTACAATAGAAAATAAAAGATTTTTTCAAATAAAATTCCCTAGTCACTCGATAATAATAAACAATTATTTACCGCCGACAAAAATCCATAAACAAAATTCTCATTAAATTTTTGTTTAACGAAAATCGGCTGTGGGTATAGACCAACAAGTTGTAAAGTCCTGTATTTATGTGTGTTCGAACAATTTGTTGTATTTACTGAGATGGCGCGAGCAAACACGCGGCGGGCCAGCCAGATTGCTGTGCAAATAGAAATAATGAACAGTGACCCTCGTTCCGAGAGGCTGCGGCCGTACCAACTCATTATTGACGACGAAATAGAAGATTACGTTCGGTAAACATGCTGCCTTCAAGTAAACTGAAATAAATTCTTAAAGTCAATTTCGAATTTGGAATACTGCTTGTATTTTTTTTTTGTTAAATTGTGTTTAAGGAGAAGTTTCTCAAAATTCATAAGTTTAATCGAATACCAGTTGTAATTACCCTTAATTTTGTTATTTGTTTGAATATCTGAATTATTGTGATGTCGTAATGTAATAAAAACAAAAACATTTTCTCCGTAGCCATATTAGGTATTACATTGCTCACAAAGTTTATCAAATAAAAGTTACGTTAAAAATGCGGAGAAGCGTTCAAGAAAATAAATCCTATAAAACCTTAAACCACAAGCAATTGATTGAATTACGAACGACTCTTCTCACATTAAGATCAATCCTCAATCTGTCTATATTCATTATATCGCCATTAGTCGCAAGTGGCGCCCTCAATCAACCGGCGGATAATTGTCTGAACTAATTAAGAGCCTTGTTGCTCGTGAAAGTAATCCCGTGTGTAAAACTTTGATCGTGTACGTTTGAATGGATCGTGGAGGGGGGAGAAGTGCTGAGGAATAGGAGCTGTACAATGTGTAAATGAAGATGGACTGGATTGCTTCCAACCATTCGTTGGAAAGACAGCCCTTCGATGTTATATGAACTCTTTATTGACTGTAGGTAATGCATACCTCCTAGATATATTAAGCCTTAGCTCATTTTCTAATTTTGTAAGATAAATCCAATTTATTTTTCTTTTTATCACACGGTGGTAATCTACAATGTCGTGAGTGCGTCTCGTCATCATCATCATCATCATCAGCCAGAAGACGTCCACTATTGAAGAATAGCGAGTGCGTTTACAAATATGTACTCAATTTTCATAACTCGGAGCAGGAGAAGGAACGAGATAGTTTGTTAGTCAGTACGAGTTTGACACATCTTTTCAGTTTCCATCTAGAGCGGTAGAAGTAATTGAACCATTTTGCTCTCTGTAAACAAGCCAGTCCCCGCGCCAACCATGCAGTCAAAAATTTGCATGCAACATCCAACACAATGCTGAAGAAGGATGTATTTAAAAATAAAATGCAAAACGTACAATAGATCTTCAAGCAGCTTGTTTTATGAGGTATTCTAAGTTTATCGTCAATAAAATGGACGACAGTATCCATCTTTCATTGTGAACGACTCAAAAAGCTAAACATTAATCTCTTAATGTGTAATTTGGTTGGTTCGTATGTGAATCCGCTTAGTTTTATTGGTGATTCGATTTTAAAGAGTTTCTTTTGTGTCCTCTGCTTTCTACTGTCTGAATTTTTTTGAGTGCTCGCAAATCCTACTGCAGAACACAACTCGTGTATTAGAATATAGTAAAAAATTGAGATGATTTGGAATGCATTAAAGTACGGACACTTAAATATTTTAACTGATAGCATACAAAAGTTGGTTTCGAATGCTACTATTATTAATTATATTACTGCCAAAACACACAACAAAACAAACTATAACGTTCTGTGTACTACCAATTGTATGAATAAATGTTACAAATTTTTTGGGGGTGGAAAGTCATCGAATGAAATTTCAAGCCCTGGAGGAGAGGAAAAGCAACTAGTTCTACCTTGTGCGTCGAGCTGGAAAAAGTACGTTGCCGGTCACCGCGGGATAAGAAGTCCATATTTCTAATTTATGGAATTTTTCGGGAAGGGATAGCGAGTGTACTAAATATTGAGTATTGAGTTTTTCAGCAAGGTCGTGGTATCACTCTAGTCGAGTCAACCATAGCATCCTTTTAAACTATTTGTAAGCACCGATATTATTCCCAATCGCTAAGTACTGGGTTCAGTGTGATCACATTGCTTATTTAGAGAACAGAGGTATATCATCCTTTTGCCCTTCCAAGAAAGAAAGCATTTAATAAAAGTTACCAAAGAAATTGTTATTTAACTAACTTGTTAGCAGTCAATGAATAAATCACTTCGTATAAATATGAATAGTATTTAATTAATAAAACAAAACGACTTCTGTTTACTTTAGATCGGGTTTGGTTTCAATCCAGTCATTTTACATGATTCTCAATCAATTTGGAGTTAGAACAAATTTGTTTTGTGTGATTAAAAACTCAGAAATCGTTAGAGAAATATTGTCTTTGTCAAATATTAAAGGGATTCAGGGAATCGAGATACTAGGTATATAAACACAATTAATTGTATAATCACTAAAGAACTAGAGCCAAAGATTTATTAATTGGTGGATAATCATTATAATGCTAGCTTCATCTAGTTTTTCACATATAAATTGACGTGTAAAAGTGCCGTTTTATGGCCTATTTGCAAAAATAAATTCATTGTTTCAATGAAGTATAATAATGTGAGTAACGTTACCAGAGGTTCAATGCCTTAAGTCTCTAAAATCCTCATGCCTACAATACTGGCAACGCACTTGTTTCTCCTCCGGTGTTGCGGGTTTACCAGCAGGTAATCCGTGCGCACTACCACATAAACAAGAAATTGCTATATTTTCTTTTTCTTCTTTCTTTTCAGAAGGGATGAATGTAACCATACCAAAAGGTGAATTGAATGTCATTTAAGAAGAAGCGAAACCATGCCTCCTATGAACTAAAATTAATTCGAATAGTTGATCGAAGATTACAATTTTGATTATTTAAGAAGAAAGAAAGAAACTGTTATTACATTTCCCATAGAGTAATGATGTATAGGATCTCTAGACCTTTTTTTTGTAAGGGGAAAATCATCCAATGACTTCTATCACCCAGGGTGACGCGTGCTTTACGCGTCACCTTTTTGAAAACAATGACAAAACCCTTTCCCTCTACCTATTCTCTCCGTCAGTTCATAACTTATACCACTGGTACCACTAACTTTATATATGTGAGGTCTGAGGATACGCCGCTTGTCCTCTGGTCCTCCACCCTCAGGAATGTGAAGGTAAATTGTTTTTACACTTCGACAAATGTCTGTTAATGCTTTTTACTGTTTAATGTTACGGTCGGATACGTTGGACTGCTAGAATTGTATTGATTTTGTTTCGTTTTTATAGCTAAAAAATTTGTAAAACAGTTGTTACACGTTTTTGATATTTATTCGAGAAATGTATTTGTTAAATCGCTTTCAGGTGCTTTCATTTTTTTAGTTATGCGTGAAAGTTGATTGATATTTTTTTAAACGTTGCTCAATTTTCTTCTGTAAAGGGGGTGCGTTTACAAACAAACAATTCCACATACACATCACACACATTTGTTTTGATCACACAAAAGAAAAAAAAAAGATTAAAATTTACGGCTAGCTATAAAATAGTTTTACGAAGTATTAATAATGTTTTCTTATTAACACCTTTTCTAAGAATTAACGAATGAAAAGAAATAATATTTAGACAATACTACTTAAGGCTGTTTTTACAATGGTTCGATAAAAGTAGTAATTATGATGCTGTCGCGTCAGAATGTTTGTATAAGAATTTTATTCCCCAGATAACATATTTATTAGACTATTGAAAAAACAGCCCCTAATAAAGTTTGCAATAGCTAGAAAACTGCTATGTTTTGCAAGGGCTTTTTTGTGAGGGAAAAATCATCAAATGACTTCTTTCACAGTAGACTTCCGAGAGAGGAGCGACAGGCTCCAAGGTACCTTATTGCAGTTGGGGTCCGTTTGTGGTGGTTTATGATCTTCTTTGGTAGGACAATCCTTTAATTATTAATTCTCGCGTAATTCCATAGCTTGTCCCACAGGACGTGGCCAGCAATGCTCGGCACGGCCCCGGCATGCGACATACCGAGCCGGGCTATGCCGCTTTGTAACTCAGCCCTAATTAACGCAGATATGTTGCTAACTAGTTTTTGTGTTCTTTGCTAACCAAGTTTGCATGTCCTTGAAAGTAATTCTTGTTTATGAGGGACTTTTGGGCAATCTATAGTTCAGCCTCTATAATACCTGGTTATCTGCTTATAGAGTTGTCTGCATCATAAGAATGACTTACTTATACATATAATGGTTAAGTTTAAGCCGTTCTTCGTTACGCTAAGTATTTAAATGATTAAAAGTCTATTTAATAACCCTTACTATTTCATCTTATAGAATTACCGTCTTGAGCCGTGCATTTAGCATATCTACATAGTATAAAGCAAAGTTGCTTTTTCAGTCCTTACATCTCTATGTACGCTTAAATCTCTTAAGCTACGCAGTGCATTTTGGTGCGGTGTTTTTAATAGATAAAGTAATTTAAATTGAAAGTTTATATGTATAGTGACATCTATTAAATAATGGAGAAATTTTGTATCAGTATTGCACCCATGCGAAGCCGGGGCGACAGCTAGTGTATTATATAAATATTACAGCTTCATAGTAAAGCTTCGAAACTACCCGAAGAGCGATTTCCCCAGATCTATGAGCAAGTTGTTATCTAAACGAGGTTGAGAACTGTATCCAAGTTGTGATGAGTCTGGCTGAGGCGGTCGCCCTCCCGTCGGCGCAGTACTGAGGGAGTGACCTTGACCTCCATACAGGTAAACTTAAAGTGAATCCTTTAAGTTCCTTGAAGGAGTCTTTGTAACAACAAGGTTATGGTTAGCCTTTGTAGTTTATAAACTGAGGTTATGTTTTTGTTTACATGGTCTTGTACGCTTAGATGATCGACTTATATGTTTGAAATAAAAAAAAATAGTCACAATTTTCAATCTTTTAATTTAATTTATTTATTTATCTCAGATGTTTTATTTTAATTAGAACTAGGTTCACTTACATGCTATGTTTCAAGAGTCACGTGTATTTCCAAAAGGTTTTTTTGTTAATTATAAATTAACCTTGCAATGTCGTTAGAAATAAGTATGTGTAATAATAGAGTACCCTTGACCATAAGCTGACTTTCTTGTAAATTATAATGAGTAACGAACAGCAAATTAGGTTGGTGTAGCTAGCCCAAATATATTTTTAATACGAGTAGTAACCATATTCCTTGAAATAATACTTTTGTTTGTGAAACTTAAAAACGTATCATAATTTAGTTCTTAATATAAGAGTATTCAGCTACTTATTCTTCAACCCAATAATATTTTTTTATCGAATAGCAAGCAAAGGGAGTTATGTGTGGGACAGAGATGCTTCGGCAAGAATGGGTCGGCTCGACCGAAGTGATACTACGGCTTCACGGAAAACCGGCGTGAAATAACCAGAGTTGTGTTTCGCTGTATGAGTGAGGTTGCCGGAGGCCCAATCGTTCCCCTACCCCAATCCGTTCCCTTTCCCAAATCCCTAATCCCCAAACGGTCGACAACGCACTCGTAATTCCTCCGTCGTTGCGGGTGTCCATGGACGACGCTGATTGCTTACCATCAGGTAATTAGTTTGCTTGTGTGCCGACCTATCGCAAAAAAAGGCAAAGCAGACGGATCACCTGATGGTAAGCGATCAGTGCCACACCTGGAAGGTCGCAGCACCAAAGGGGTCGCAAATAAGCTCTACTAGTTTAGTAGGACGTCAGACGTCGCCGCGTCCGCGGACGCTGCTCATGAGGAAGAACCCCTCTGTGGTTCGAAACTAGTAGAGCTTTTCTCAACATTTGCACGTGAGTAACCCGCGAATTTTAGTTAATTTAGTATGTCTCACGATAGTTATTATAAAAACGGTCGCAAATAAATTTAATAACGATAGAATTTAAAGAGTTTGTACTGTATTATAAGTTCTGTTTTAGTTTAAGTTGTGAGAAAACGATAACACTAGGATACATATAACTACGAATTAGCACTGAACATTGGTAGGTAGCATTAATACTTAGGTAATAGAGTTGGTTTGCTTAGAGATATGTCTAAATTTCGATAGGGTAGAGCGTAACCATTCTTTTCTAAATATTAGTTTTGTAAAAGTAATTGTGCTTTCTCTACTCATTTTACAAATTGATTGGATATAATTTGTGTTTCTGAGAACTAACCGACTCCGTTGTTTGTTATTGGAATAGTCAGGTTTCCTATTAAAATTCCAGGAAGTATAAAGATATTTTAACATGTATTGAAGCTGTATAAGTTTCGCAATTGTTAATTTTTCCTGTATGAACTATATATTCATAATGCGTAATGTAGCAAATCAAAGTATATTCACCTACGTTTTCTTTTGTTTGTTTTCTACACGTTTAAACCTCGGGAACTCGGGGAAGATCGAAGAGTGAGGGGCAATGGAACTCGACAAGCGGTACCTACGTACGGACCGACGCTTACATTTTAGTGAAATTAAGTCAAAATAACTTGGTTCTAACAAAAGAACAAAGGAATGCCTGTATTCCGACATTCCCACTTTTAAACAAATACTTTTATAACGTTTTTTCTTTTTTTAATATACATTTTTTTCGTTGTTTTTTGTCACAGCTTTTGTGTTTTGCGTTGTAAAATATTAAACGTGTCAGTGTTGTTTTTTTAGAGCTAATATTGCGTTCCTAGCTAGTAAGGTGCGTAGGTTGCTTTAATTATTTTATCCGACTACGAATAAACAGTTTTTATCTTATGATTAGTTATGATTATGATGAGATATACTAGATTAATTGAAAATAAAAAAAAGGCTTTCTAACCTGAGTTAGTTGAGAAAATTTATAGTACTTAACTGCTCACGCTACTCGTGAATAATACGCCATTGTGACTTAAAGCTAGTAGAGAATTTCTCGATTAGTTAT